TGTGTGTGTGTGTGTGTGTGTGTGTGTGTGTGTGTGTGTGTGTATGTGTGTATACGTGCATGTGTGTGTTGAAGGGGGTGGTACCTAAAACAGAAAGGCTCTCCTCTGGCAGAGGAGGTAGTCTGCCTCCTCCAGACATGCCACCATGCCCAGGGTACAAGTTGAGGATACAGATATTTATCATGAAGATTTTGGCACATTGCAGAGGCTAGGGCTGCACACAGGTCTCTAGGAGGGGCATATCCTCTACCCATCAGTGAGGTCCTGGAGGAGCCTTGCATAGGCAGCACAGGCCTCAGTTCCCCAATGAGAAAGGAGCTCCCCCAGAGGTAAATTGTGGCCTATAGAGACAACCAAACAGGCAGGAGGAAACAAGACCATCCTTCCCTGGGGTATAAGGCAGGCAGCAAGGGAGTAAATTTCCACTTCAAGGCTTGAGTACTCAATCAGAAAAACAAATGCAGGACCTTCAGCAAAACAGTATCCTTCAACAGCTGAGAAGCTATTCTCCAGGGCACCAGGTCACTCCAGCCCCACAGAGTAACTGACAGAAGTAACTCAATGACCAGCTGTGGGTGCCTCCAGGATACATGGAGCTGCTACCCAACCAACAACATTAAGCTTCCTTCTTGGAAACAACCTTTGCCTAGGTGAAGCCTAGGAAATCAAAAACCACATCTTGTTCTTGGTAAGTTCAGTGGCCCAAGCCCAAGTTCCTAAGTTAACCTCAGAGGACTAAGGGGCATCAGTGTGGCTGGCATCCAGGACAGGACAGCCACATTCAAGTAAGCCCAGCAGCCCAGACTCTGGTTTTAGGAATCTTGGTTCCCATCACCCGGGCTCATGCCCACATGTGGGCTTAGGTAATGTATCCTCCCCTCCATCCTGGCTATATTAAAGCAAACCCCACTCTGCAGTGTCCTGGGAGGGAGGTGACTTCTGCTCTTCAGCATCAGAAAACAAGGCAATCACAGTCCTCATTCACTAAGAGTAGGCTCTCAGGAACCTGGAGAACATTGTACAGTGTACAGCCAAGGTCATCAATCTCCTTTTCCTCTTTGAGAAAGCTGTCTAAGAGGTTCAAGCTGGGGTTGAAGTGACAGAGCAGGCTTAGCCTACTCCAACCTGCCCACCTGAAATTCCAGGGCATTCAGAAAGTGTTCCTCTAAGGCTTCTCTTCCAGGCCACTTCCTCTTCACCCAGATGCAGAACGACTTGAGTCAGGTGGCTCCAGCCAAGCCCAGAACCACCCCAGAGCCAAATGGTCACGACACATACCTTGCAGCAGAAGCAACAACCTCCAGTAATCCAGGGCCCACAAACAGGCAGCTTCTATTGGATATAGATCCTGCAGCCAGAAATTGCTGGCCAGCCCTTCCAGAGGCCAAGCCAGAAGAAGGCAGTCAGTAGTGCTGGTCCCAGGAACCACCATGACCACAGCTAAAGTGAACTCCAGGCACTCGTGTTGCATTTCCAGCAGCAGCTACTCCAAAGTCACACTGGGCTAGATTAGACACCCAAGCAGGCCACCAATGGCCAGACAAGTTGAAGGACACTGCTAGGGCCTTCTGTAGCAGTTCCAGCAAGACATGGGAGGAAAGGTAGCCTCCCGCCATGAAGTGGTCCCAGGGGTTGCACCCAAAGGGATGGAACATGCACTGGGTCCTGTGCACAGCTCAGCATTAAGGTTCCCTGGTCATAGTGTCCATGCCAGGTACCAGGCTCTGTAGACTTGGCTGCAACTACATGGGTGTTAGTAGGCACAGGACCCATCTAGGAGTGATGATTTCATTTTTTTAACATCTGAGTAATATTACATTCTGTAAATATACCTCAATTTTCTTAATCCGTTCCTTTACTTACAGACATCTAGGTTGTTTCCAATTTTTGGATATTATGAATAGAGCCAAAATGAGCATGGTTTAGCAAGTACACTGCTGAAATGTGGGCACTTAAAACTATAAACTTCTTTCTTAGAACAACTTTCATTTCATTCCATAGATTTGATTTGTTTTCATGATCATTTAATTCTAAGAACTTGTTTTTATTTCTTCCTTTATTTCTACAATGATGCATTCATCATTCAGTAGTATGTTTATCCTCCATGATTTTTGTTATTTTCTGTAGTTTCTCTTATTCTTTTTTGTTTGTTTGTTTGCTTCAAGCCAGGCTTTCTCTATGTCCCCTGAGCTGTCCTGGACTCGCTTTGTAGAACAGGCTTTCTTCGAACTCATAGAAATCCACAAGCCTTGATTTTTATTGCTGAGTAATATTCCATTGTGTAGATACACCACAATTTGTGCATCC